GCAAAGCTCAAAAGTCCAGAGAAGGGCCACGCGTATGATCAGAGACTTGCAAGGCAAGCCATACGAGGAAAGGCTGAGGGACTTGAGCCTCTTCAGCCTAAAAAAGAGAAGGCTGAGTAGGGACTTGGTAGCAGCTTACCGCTATATCAGGGGAATACATCAAGGGCTCGGCAAACAACTGTTCACCAGGGCACCCTTGAGGAAAACCAGGAGTAATGGCCACAAACTCCTGGAAGACCATTTCAGGCTTAACACTAGGAAAAACTCCTTCACAGTCAGAGTTTCCAGACTGTGGAATAAGCTCCCTCTGGAGGTGGTGCAATCACCTACCCTGGAAATCTTCAAGAGGAGACTGGATGATTACCTCACTGGGGTCGTTGCCTTTCCTGCCTCATACAGGGGGCTGGACCCAATGATCTTGCAAGGTCCCTTCCAGCCCCTAACAATCTATGAATAAGATCCTTAGGAAGTGAAAACCGGTTTTCACCAGGGCTCTGGACTCAGCCGTCAAAGGGATGAGAGATGATCTTAAATCTTCAGTACCGTGGGCCATGTGATTTTTGCAAAAAGACTTCCCAATATGAAGAGCAATTCTAGCAGAACAAGAAAACGTTACCAAATGGCAAAGCGAGCTGTGGTCCACGGCAATAAGAAGGCTAGAAAGGAACGTGGGACGAGACTTACAAGGGCTCCTTGTTAGACATACTCATGTCCCATCATGCGTACAAGTGTCGCTAGAGAGGCTGAGGAAGTGGAGAGCCACGGGTTCCAGTAGCACCTGCAGCTAATGCCTCCATTGGCTGCTGCCCAGTGTAAGTTAAAAAGGGGGATTGAGGGTAGAAACAGATGTCTTCAAACTGCGTGGTGTGGTGGAGAGCCTGGGAATCCATAATCCAAAGTCGGGAAATACCAACATTGCCATAACCAGGGCACTCCAGGCTTCCCCTGCTTGAAGAGACGTGTCCCTGGAATCTCCCCAGCCTGTCTCCTCAAGCAGAGAAGCCATAGCTTTCTTCACTTCTAGAGATCCCAGAGGTATGAGTCTGGAAGTGAACAAATCCTGGCCGCCTCTGTTTCCTTAGATGCATCCCCAAGATTCCCCAGGGTCATCTCAAAGAGGAGAAAGCCGGGCAGGGGCTCCAGGGGCCCAATCCTGTCTAGAAATTCATAGGGTTTGCAGGGTTGGGGCCCTTCAACCCTGCAGAGCAGCTGGCCAGGGAGGCTGGAGAGCGCAGGAAGTTCTCCCACCACCAAGCAAACAGACAGCTGCCACAATCAAGGAGTACAATCTATTACTGGTGTTTTTGCAGCCACACATTTGAGGTATTTGTGATACAAGAAAAGGTATGGAGGTCTCTTTGCTTTGCCTTTGTGCCTTCATAACCATTTGTTTTGGAGGTACAAGGATGGGGAAAAGTGACGTGTTTCCACCCTTAGAGAGCACTGAAATGTGCACTGTTTGATTCATAGATTATAGAGTTGGAAGGGACCCAATGGATCATCATGTCCGATCCCCTGCCCCTGGCAGGAAAGAGGACGGAGGTCAGACGACCCCAGCCAGGTGACTGTGAAGCCTCCTCTTGAAAACCTCCAAGTTAGGTGATAGCACCACCTCTCTTGGAAGCCCGTTCCAGACTCTGGCCACCTTTACTGTAAAAAATTTCTTCCTAATGTCTAACCTATAACTACTTTCATTAGTTTGCACTCATTATTCCTAGTTACTTCCTGGGGTGCTCTGGTAAACAGCGCATCCCCAATTCCCTGCTGTCCTCCCTTGATAAAATTTAGGCAGCTACAAGTTCTCCCCTCAGCCATCTTTTGTAAAGGCTGAAGAGATCTAGATCCCTCAACCTCTCCTCGTAGGGTCTTTCATGGAGGCCACTAATCATGCGAGTGGCCTCCTCTGGACCATCTCCAGATTCTCTGCGTCCCTCTTGAAGCGCGGCACCCAAAACTGGACACAGTGCTCCAACTGCGGCCTGACCAGTGCTGCATAGAGGGGGAGCAGCACCTCCCTCGATCTGTTGGTTATGCATCTGTTAATACGCGACAAGGTCTGATTGGCTTTGTTGATGACCTCGTTACACTGCCGGCTCATTTTCATTTGCTGGGATTGTTAAGTGTTTGGACCAAATACAATAGAGCGAGGAAGATGGACTGATTCCCCAAGGCATGGTTGTTGGCAAATCATTGAACTGGAGATGCTACAAACAGGCCAGGATGGCAAAGGGGGATTATCTTGCAAAGAAATGGCTGGATATGGAAACAACAGGGTCAGGCCAAGGGAAAGACCTCAGTGAAGGTGCCTGAAACAACCAGAGGAGGGTATGAAAGTGCGAAGTAGACAAGAGCCCTGAGCGATGACGGAGCTCAGTGGGGTGAAAGTGGGTTTAAACCACCAGCCACAATGCATGAGGACCCGACTATTAAGGAACAGGGAGAAGAACAGGACATGCTGGATTGCACACAGCTCTGGAAAGCGGGAGGTGGGAAGCAAGAACCAGAACGTTACCCAGGAACATGAGGGCTTGGTAATTCCTCAGCATCTGGTCCCGGTAAAGCACCTTGTCGTCATCGTCCAGCAGCTCCCACTCCTTCCGTGTGAAATACACGGCCACGTCCTCAAACACCTCCCGGAGCTGCAGTCACAAGCATTACACCATCAGTGTCTCCCATCCCACCTGCCTCTGCAAACCTGAGTCTTACCCCTCAGCTGACACAGCTGCTCCAGCAAAGGGTCTGGTGTGGATACAGCTCTGCAGACAGAGCAGCACGTTTGTCTGCTTTTGTTCACATCATGCAGGGAGTCAGAGCAGCTATTCCCTCTCCTAGTATATGCTGTGCCTGAAAGGGAGGCACTGCCATCGTAACAACCCAGCAGAGACTGCAAGCCAGACACCCTGAGTCTCCTGTGGGGAAGCTGTTTTCACGGCAGTGACTCACTGGGGGAATACCCTGCCTGAGAGGGGACCCCGAGGAATTCACCCTTCTGCACCCAACACTGCCCAGGAAACACTGGGTGTTGGTGGTGTCAGGGTTTAGGCTTTTTTCTCCGTGGGGTTCGGGTTGTGTGTGTGTGGGGGGGGGGAGGGGAGCTCTGATGGCCCCAAATCCCAGGAGATCTACTGTCCCCCCTAAAGACAGGGAACCTCCTTGCTGATGTCCTATGTGGCCTGGGGCTGCTGCAGCCACCCCCGCTATGTCTCGGCCATGGAGAGGAAATGAAAGGCAGGGGAAGGAGTAGAGCCAGGAAGGGGCAATGAGGATTCCCAATAGCCTGGGCTGGGATGAAGCAGGAGGGACTCAATGCAAACTCAGCTTGGAAGCAGGAGAAAAAGTGGGTTGTGGCACTCAAACTCCATGCACAGAGACAACAATATTACAGGTCCTCAGATCACAAAGTGTGCATCTCCCCTGGGCGCAAGTCACACTCGAAGGCTTGGAGAGGGGCTCCTGCATATATAAGCAACTTGGCAAATTTGTCCTTGATCCCAGTCAGACAAGGAGGTGCAAGGAGACTGGGATTCATTTCCCTTTCTGGCAGGTGGATGCTGGATTCTCCCGCAGGAGTCAGGAGCGCTGCTCACTTTGAGCACGCTGCCAGCTCAGGACCCTGCCTTAGCCCTGGCAGAGCTGGGGACCCTGCTGAAGTGAGGTGCAGAGCTCCTCTGTGCTTCTCAGAGGGAACCTGGTGAGCTCAGCTCAGGAGACCCTCACCCCATGCTCCCTGGTGCCGACTGGGGGCTACAGAAGGGCCCTCTCCTGGGACTCCCAGTCTTCAAATGCTTTCTTGAAGCACCACTTAGAGGAAGCTGAAACAGCACTCCCAGAGGCAGGGAGCACTGGACCAGACCAGCACTTCCAGTCCCAGCCTCCCTGGCTATCTGGACTTGGCATCCAGCTTCTGCTTCCCCTCGGGCCCTCCCTACTGGCTCAGCGTGGATGCAGGCTCTCTTGCTGCTGAAGCTTCCTCTTGCGGCTCTTCAGGTCTCTCAGCTCCTCTGGCTCTTCCCCCAACCCCTCACCCTTGACTCCCACCCCGCTGCAGCCTGTACCTTGCTCACGGCCATGTCCTCTCTCTGTGGTGGGCCACTGCCCAGCTTCTCACGCATTTGGTCTGGCCCAGGCCTCAGGGGTCTCCTCTCCCCTGATCTTCCTTGAGATGGCTTCAGCAGCTCCAGGGTTACAGGAGCCTGTTCCTTAGCTGTGCTCAGCGCCCCTGCACCTGCTGGGAGGGAAGGAGCATCCACAGGCTGTAGCCCTCACTGGGACAGTGATCAATATATATGTACTGCTCACGCAAAGGATTTGCTAATGCATTGGCCGAGAAGGCCTGATCAGCGAATCTGGCTGATGCCTGAACTCCTAGTTCGGGCTGTTGCCTGAACCTTGGTGTGTGGCCAGAGGGTGGGAGGTAGGAATGGCTGTAGAAAGGGGAGAAGGGTCCACTGCCAGGATGATAAGGCCAGAACAGGAACCCCTAGAATAGGATGTGGAGCAAGTCCATGGCACATGTCAGCTCAAGACATCAAGGTACAGGTGCAATGTAACACGCAGTGTGTTTTGGAAGGGAACTTTGTATTGGCCGAGGGAGTCTGCGTGATGTTGTGCCGTTGCCTTGTCCTGGGCACATGCATGTTAACACTTTGTCTGTCAGACCACGAGTGCATTAGGGCCATGCCTCGTAGACAATAAACGTGCCCAAACTTTTGTCAATGGACTGAGCCTTGTGGTCGTTCTTTAAGACCAGATTGGTAGTGGGATCTCCTGGCAATGACTTTTTGCTGGCAACACAGACCCTGAGACTTCAAATTAAAATTAAAATTACAACTGCATAGAAAATAGCTATACAGTTGTTACACATTTTCAAGTACTAACTTAAAAGCTGACTGGCTCTTTTTTTCAGCTGCACGGACATTTTTATGGTGTGATAATTGCATTGCACCTGGGCCTGGCTTAAATTCCTTGTACGATTGACTAGTTAATTGTGTAATGTATGTAATGTGTGACAGAGGCCTTCAACTCTGACAACACACTAATAACACCCAACAAGGACAGCGATGATCACAGAGGTTAGTCCTAAAGCCACTGGTAAAAGTAAAGCCCTGCTACTCCCCCGTGCTGGCATGTGCCTAACTGAACCCCAGGCCTTAGTATATGACAGAGGAGAGAGATGGAAGAGGCAAGGTCCCACAGGTCTTCCAAGGCCCCTGCTTCACGTTACATATATTATGCAATTTACTAGTCAATCGCACAAGAAATTTAGGCCGACCACGCATGCAAAGTCATTAACACAAGATAAAAATCATGCCCCTGCTACCAAGACAGCCAACCAGCTACAAACTTATTGCTTGAATATATGTAACAACTCCATAGCTGATTTATATCTAGCTTAAATTTGAACATGTAGTAGGGCCCTTTTAATAGACCTCCATAGCCATGAGATTGGAGATGAGCCCCAGTGACTCTGCCCTGGCTGGGAAGGGCAACCTCAGATCCCACTCCCCATGGGAGACACAGCAGGGACCCTGAGGCTTCATCAGGATCCACCAGGGCCACTTGCTTTTAGGGGTGAGGGTGACTTCTGGGGGGATGCAGAAGAACAGGCAATGGGCTGAATCGGTCCCCCACAACACATGAGAGCAGACACGAGTTTTCCGCTGGTGGGGGTGCCTCCTGCTGCTGGAAAGGGCAGAACGGGAGTCTCTCACCTGCCTCTAGCGAAGGGCCTGGTCTGGGGAAGCAGTCCAAGGGGCCATCATTTGCCGACAAGTCCCAGGTGTCCTCTGTGTCAGGGGGACCTGCAGCAGGACAGAGGCCTGGGGTTAACTGTAAATAAAAACCAGCCCAAAGTCACTAGGAAAACCCATTGCCCGACACCAGCACCAGTCCAGTCTGGGGCACAGAGGGCTCCTGGCAGGCTGGTGAGGGAACATCGCCCAGCAGAAGGGCTGCAGCACCGGGGTGCCAGCATGGAGGTGCTGTAAGAAGCAGCCTTGAGGTTTGGGGAGGAGAAGGGTCCTAGGGACCCAGGGAGGGGTCCAGAGCCAGGGCCTTGGAAGAGATGGGCCCAGAAACGGACAGGCCTGGCCTTGGAAAAAATTGGCCTGGGGAGAGGGGCCAGGGGCCTGTAGCCCAGACAGGGGCCAGGAGTGCAGAGAAAGGACAACAAGGGGTGATAATACCTGCGAGCCATGGGGCATGGTGTAGGGGTTAATTGGAGACACTCAATTACTCCCAAGGCAGTGATCATGAACACCTGGTAGTCAATGGGAAGATCAGGAGTGGGAAGCCCTAGGGCCACCTCCCTCAGGTAAAATAAAACAAGAGGAAGGCATGGCAGGGGAGAGAAGGGGTGATTGCCCAAGGAGAAAAAGGGCCGCAGTGTCTACAGGGGCCTCACGGCCACCCTGGAAGGCCCCGTCACACTCAGTTATTCAAATACCCAGTACACGGCCAGTAGCAGAAGCAATTGTCGTGGGGAAAATTATGTATATGCAAGTAATCCTAGGCATCGAACACTTGGGAAACAAACGGGCTCCTAGGCTGCAGGGTGCTAGACTGCAGAGCTCCCGAATGTCCCAGCGCGACCCTGGACTGTCTGATCAAGAGGACAGGGACCAAGGCTCGCGGGCAAGGCGCCTAGTGTCTTCACAGGCATGGGCGTGTGTGCGGCTGCTGAACTTACACGAGCGCAGAGGACGCTCCTGCTGCTGGAGCATCGTCCCTCTCCACAACCCACTGGCTCCCCAGTCCCGGGTTTCCAAATAACAGTGAGGATAAAGGATCTTCCCACTGGGTGCTGCTGCCCCGCTCTCCTGCTGCTGACCGAGGCCCTGTCACCCACAGCCTGGCAGCGCATCCCAGCCCCGCAGGCGCCAGCGGTACCTCTGCCCGGGGCCGTGGCACGTTCCCTGGTTGTCTTCTCTGCCTCCCCCCAGCCCGGCTCCCACCGCGCCTTCTGCCAGCATCCCGGCTCCCTGTGCCACGACCCCCGGCACAGACCCACAGCCCCTCAGCAGCCCCAGCCCCACATGCACCAAGGGGCTGCAGGGGAGGGTCCAACCTGCCCAGACGTGGGCCCAGGGCGTGGGATAGATCCCCAGCACCCCTCCACGGCCCGCACCCCCACCTGCTCCCAGCTGCCTGTGCTCCTCGCTCCCAACCCCCAGCCCCCTGGTGCCCCTCGCTCCCGACCCGCAGCCCTGTCCCTGCCCCATGGTGCCCCTTGCTCCCGACCCCTAGCCCCCGCATTGTCCCTTACTCTTTGTGCCGGCCCCACCCCACGTGCCGCTC